TGCATTTGAAGTTGTGGGCGTATAATCACAAAAATTCATGCTAAAATAAAAATCAGTTAGTCTTAAAAGTGATGGAACATTTCTTTCTTTCCTCCCCCCTCCTCCTTTTTATGCTGCCAGAGACTACAGCTACTTCTTTGAACACTATAGAAATTATCATTGCTCAGGTAAGTACTCAACCAGCATTTTAGAAAAAAAGTGTCTATCTTTTGATCCTAGAGACATTGGCTACCATACTTGTTGATATAATCCTAAAGAAACAAGACTGGATAACTTTTTTTTCTTACAGTTTCCTCTTATCTCCCTCATCCTTAATGGTTGTTACTATGTGATCTGCATATATAAGTTTCTATAGTGAAAATGATTTATATCTGCAATACTGATAATGGCAAAACTTAACAGAATAGACCTAGAAATAATTGGATCTGCAATAGGGTTATTATCTTAACAACATTCATAAGATTTTGTATCACTACATTTTTTAAAAGAACCTAGAAAACTATCAAGAAGAGTAGAAGTAAATCACAATCAAATGGAACACATGGAAACATTTATAGCATAGAAGGCTACAGACTCTGATGCTGTTCATGACTATTTGTTATAGCATGTGCTTGTGTTTGGGTGTGAATGAGTTTTAATCCTGTGTATTGCCATTTTCTCTTTGCCAAATTGTTGCTCAATTCATTGTCTTCCTAAATGGCTATTTTACATTGCCTCTTCTGATTCTAGTCCTTTGTACAATCTTCATTTTCCACATTTTCTCCTTTCTTGTCTCTTTTCATTTTACTCAACCTGGTCATTAGAATAATAACAATCTGAAATATATCTTAGATGGCCAGTTGAAGAATGTGCATGTCTTCTAAAGAGGGAGATGAAGTAGTTCAGCAGTGGCTGCTACCACCTGTTTACTATATATTTGATTAATGTTTCAACAGAATACTGTATAGATTTTAGAACAAATAATGCACTTACTGTGATGTCAAAGGCTTTCACAGCTGGCATCCATGGATTTTATGGGATTTTCGGGCTGTGAGGCCATTTCTAGAAGAATTTCTTCCTGGTGTTTCATCTGCATCTGTGGCTAGCATCTTCAGAGAATGGTGGCATGGAAGTGAGTGGGGTATATATATATATATACTATGTGACCCTTGGTTGAGAAGAAGTGATTTGCATGTTAATCTGTGTATTGTTCTGTTGTTGAATGGCAAGGATAAGTGAGAAGGATTAGTATTAATTAGTGGCTCATTGACTGCTGGGAAACCCCCTGACCCTGGGTGCAGTTCATTTGCATATGCTGACTCTTGATTTTGATATTCACAAACACTGAACAACTTCAACAGCAAAGAAGAAACCCTGAAAATAAACAAAGTTTGGCTACCAGTCCTGAAAAACACCAAAATCAAGATTCAGCATATGCAAATGAACTTCACCCAGGGACAAGGGTTTTTCCAGTAGACAATGGACCACTAATTAAATAGACACTAATCCTTCTCACTTATCCTCCCAACCTGAGTCTTTGCCATTCAACAACAGAACAATACACAGATTAACATGCAAAACACAACCAAAGGTCACACTCACTTCCATGCCACCATTCTCTGAAGTTGCCTGCCACAAATGCAGGCAAAACATCAGGAAGAAATTCTTCTAGAACACAGCCTCACAGCCGGAAAAGCCCACAAAAACCAATGCCCTTACTGCTTATTATATTTTAGACTGATATTTCAACAAAATATCGTGCACTGGAGCTCATGAAGCAGCCTTTGTCATGTGGGTTGTGACATGTGAAAGTCCACTCCCAACTACTTCTAAACTCATCAGGCTTTTTTTTTCCTTTTTGATTTTGTTTCCATGTACACCTGAATTGTTCATCTAATTTATTCATAATAATTTGGTTCCAAATGTTTGACTGTTGCTCCTGACTTTATATGTGTGTGTGTGTGTGTTAAAAAAAATGCAAACTTAATGTCAAAACAGACAATCTTAGATTACTACTCTGTTAACTTTCACTCAAACTAGCAAACAGAATTAGCACATTTTAGAATGAAGTGATTGCTCAGGTAGTGGAAGATGTTTGCATAATGCATGATTGTCTTCACCTATGTGAAGCCCTGGTGGCACAGTGGTTAAATACCAGTATTGCAGCCACATTCATAAACCACAAGGTTATGAGTTCAATACCATTCAGCCTTGCATCCTTCTGTAGGTCACTAAAATGAGTACCCAGCTTGTTGGGGGCAATTAGCTTATACATTGTCAACCACTTAGGGAGTGCTTAAGTGCACTGATAAGCCGTATAGAAATGTTATTGCTATGTATTTTGAATCTACCATTCTTCATTTTGTGATCTGTCTTTGGATAGTAAACATGTGCTTAATTGGCAAGTCTGATTGTTGCAGCATGCATCTCTGAGTTAATCCTGCTGTGGGACATCAAGTTCCCTTATTATTCCACATAGGAGAATATGCTCTGCATAAAAGACAAAGCACATTCTTCATGCCAATCCTTTGGCATGCCCAGGAAAATCAGAGAAGGCTTGACCATTCACATCCTGTTGAAACCAGTAGCATGGTTGACTAAATAGGCATTGGTTTGTGTAGCTAGTTGTTCAGAATGGAATCAGATAGAAAGCAGGGGAGATGTAGACCTTCTCTGCTATGTTTTTATTCCTTTGCCTTGTGTAATAAGGTTTGAAAACTTTAATGTGGTCTTGCTTATTTGATTATAAGCATGCTTTTCTTTCATTGCTTTAAGGTAACCATGATATACTTGTGTGTGAAAAATTCACTTTGCCATGATGCAATTTTTAACAAATTACAGGTGGCAGACAATATTCCTGGGAACTAGAAACCATTTTGCTGGGTTAGAAATAGTTGGGGTGCAGAGTGATACTGACAGGATACTTATCAATGCTGTGGTTATTGTCAATTAGCATCAACTGCAAAAATTGCAGTTTCCTCAGAAATATCATAAAATTAAGCCCAATACATCTTCAGCTATAGGTAAAGTTTCCTGAGGCTATGTTAGATAACCATCATCCCTAAAACAGCCCCAATGGATGCAATGGGATTGCTAAATGGGAGAAAATTTCAGCTAACTCACACAATTATTGTTGTAACTTTAATTATACATTTGTTATACTGGCATTCTGGTCAGTATAGTGTGTTCCAGACATCATATTGTGTATCTATGAATGTCATCTTTGTAGTACAAGTTTATGGAAATCCTGTAGATGAAGTGGTGGATGTGAATTTTTTGAGTTCTCACTTTAAATCTACTTTCCTTTGTTCTTAGATTCTTGATTGTACACTAGAATTGTCAAGACAGGTTAAAGTTAGTTAATCACTTTTAAACAGCACTGACTTAAAAATAGAGATTTAGGCAAATTTTTAAAATGAGCATTAAAAATGCTTAACTTTAGGAAGATCCTGCCAATGGCAGCTTGTGGCTTCCATGTCTGTGAATTCCTTCTGAATGTTAATCTGAACTTGAAACAAGCTTTTCAAAGTGTCAAACTCCATCTCCTGGAAAAGGGCAAAACCTTGAATAGCCATAGCTATAGAATTCATAGTAATCATATTTATAGGATTCAGTGGAAGGATCCAAGTTTTAATACTCCTGATTTGTTGGCATCTTAAAGGGCCAGATAAATGGATTGGGATTATTGTTCATTAGATGCAGATGCCAACATGACACTAGTTTGTAAAAAGGCTGTATTGGAGCTAACTTGTGTAATCACCATATTACTCAGATGACCTGTTGATCTATGGAAGACTTTTATGATTTTGGAATAAGGAGACCAACTGACTTACAAAACCATTGTGTAAGTAGGCTTTATGTATGGTCAGGGAGCACAGCTAAACAAAGCTATTAAAAGGGTCACAGAAAATTTCAGATTTCTATACTGAGCTTAAGCTTTTCATCATACCTAGAAGTGGGATACCAGTAGAGTAATTAATTTCCATTTTGTGTTTCTTCATTGTACAGAACTGCAACTTTCTTATGTGAGAGTTTAGCAAAGCCATTAAAACTGATTTGTTGTTATATGTCTTCAAGTTGACTCCACTTATGTTGACTCTATCAGGGAGTTTACTTGGCAATATTTATCAGAGGGAACTTGCATTGCCTTCCTCTTAGGCTGAGAGAGTGTGATCAACCTAATATCACCATGTATTTCCATGGCTGAATGGGGATTCAAACTCTACCTCTCAGAGACCTAGTCCAATACGCAAACCACTACACCATGTTGGCTCTACTAAAACTGATAAGGGACTCTTAATTGAAAGAAAGGACCAGCACAGTGCACAGGAAAAATATAAAACACACTTAAATGAATGGAGGATGGGAAATTGAAAGAATATTCATCTTTAGGAAACAGAATAACTAATAGTCTATTTTCTTACGTATTGAATTGCTCAGCAAATATTAAGTTGGTTGAAGTTCCAGTGATGGTTGTCAGTCCTCCAACGGTAGATGAATAGGCAATACACAGGCACATGACTTTACATATCATGTGGTCCCTTTGGTTTCGATATTTTCTTTCTGTTTCACTTGGTTCTGGCTTCTGTGTAAATATGAAATTGATACAGAAAAAAATCACAGTGTTTTTATATTAGACTATTTATAAGCAAGTTGCCCATTACCATTGGTTCAGGAAAATTGTCATAAAATATTCAGCCTTTTCCCAATAATACTACAAAACTCAGGATGGGGGCAGGACTCCTTTTCTTCATGACCTCATTCATCTTTCTGTTTTTGTTTTTGTTTTTCTGCAAATTTAGAAATTGACAAGGAGGGAAGGAATATTTGATCATGAAAACAAACCTTGTACTCACAACTTGTTCAACTTTAAGTTTGCTGTGTGCTTTCAAGTCATTTCTAATGTATAGCAACCCTATCATGGGGATTTCTTGGCAAGATTTATTCTGAGGAGGTTTACCATTGCTTTCCCCTGTGTCTGAGAGCATGTGACTTTCTCAAGGTCACCCAGCGGGTTTCATTGCCAAGCTGGGACTTGAATCCTGGTCTCCAAAGTCATAGTTCAGTGCTCAAACCCCTATGCCACATTGGCTCTCCTTCAGTTCTAATCTAATCTGGTCAAACTCAGAAAAGCAATGGATATTCAAACTTCTGTCTGAGGTTTGTAAAGATAATTGGAAAAGATAACACCCAGAGTCCACTAGCCTCATTTTGCTGGTCTATGACCATAATAAAGATCTATTCTATTCTATTCTATTCTATTCTATTCTATTCTATTCTATGGCCTCACTGTCTGAGTGAGCTGAAAAGTTTAACTTTTCCAAACTCTGCTTCTCTAAAACAGTACTGGAATATGTTTTTATTACTAAAGCACTTGAAAAATGGCTACTCAGTCTCAAATATGCCAGCACACAATTTCCATAAGTTACAAAATAATTAGATCATTCTAGACAACCAAATCAATAACTTGAAGATACAGTGGCAATTTTTATGTACCTTCAAGCCTACTCCAACTTATAGGAACTATTATGAAGGATTTTCTTGACAAGACTTATTCAGAGGAGGTTTGCCATTGCCTTCCTTTTAGGCCAAGAGAATACGACTTGCCCAAGGTCAACTAGTGAGTTTCAATGGCTCAGTGGGGATCTAAACCTTGATCTCCCAGAGTATTGATTGATCTCAAGCCATTATACTACAGTGGATCCCATGGCAAATTTACAAACACATTTATCTACGAATGCCAAAGCAGAGATTAGAATTAGTAATAACATGGTAAATCCTTTTCAAAATTTAAAATCTGAGATAAGAGTAATTTGGATATCCATATCATATACAAACATAGTATAAAGTGGATATATTGTGTTACTAGACTGTATCCACACTGCAGAAATAATCCCATTTGAGACTTCTTGAACCGCCCTGGCTAGGGGATTTTGGGAATTGTAGATTTGGGAGACATTTAGACTTCTGTCAGAGCACTCTGGTGCCACTATAAACTACAATTCCCAAGATTCTCTAGAACTGGTTCAAGCAGTCTCAAACGGGATTATTTCTGCAGTGTGTTTTGGGCCATGGACAAATTTGTCCTAGAACCTTCTAATAGTTATACATTCGTTTAATTAACTGTCTTTGATTTGAATAATCTGATTATTTTTAAGAATAAGGGGGCTTCATCATGGAGCATCAGAGATGAAGAAGATGTAGTTTGTCAAAAATCCATGTGATGACAGGTAATAATGTTGTTGAAGCAAAACTTTCTGTTTGGCAAAGGAAACACTAGAGTTATTATGCATGCTAGTGGCAGTCTAGGTTTGGATATAACAAAGTTGGATCTGAAGAGGCCCAGACCTAGTCTAGACCTCCTGACATGCATTTTAAAGGACAGATTCCTTTTTGTCAGGTATATGATTTCATCACTTTTTGTTCAAGCAGAGCATTCAAGACAGCAGATCATTTGAGCCTGGAGGAAAAGGAGAGGCAGAAATCTTATTTTAAATTTTTTTCATTAGATCTTAACTGCAATATTGTGGTTAATTATGTGACCATAATGAAAAATGATATTATAGTAATATAAAACATGGTAATGCAAATGCTGGATTTCTAAGAATATATTAATATTTTCACCTCAGTTTAGTTCAATCACCTTCCCTTTTGTAGATAAACTGGAACTAGCAGGGAATAACCTCTTGCTCCAGGATTCATATGTCATTCTTCAGTTGTAGAGGAATGGGCCTGGAGCCAGGGGTTAATGTTGCTGATCAGAAGCTCAAGATAGCATTCATGAGTCATTATTATAAAGCAAGATCAAGGTTAGGTTTGGAACTGCAGACCTTGTTACAAGGCTTGCTAGCAATTGTCCATTCAGACTTGGGCCAGAGTTGAACTGAGTTCAAAGAGTGAGAAAAAGAAGAAAGCAGCTGCAGAAAATCATGATTTGAAGGCAGTGGAGAGCATTGAGCCAAAACAATTAGTGAGAAAGATTAACAGTTGGAGATCAGAGGTCAAAAGGCAGAGCTTTTCTTTTCTTTTTTTAAAAAGTTACAAATCCCATAAATTCTACAGTAAATCCCAAAGCTTGCTCACAACTTTGTGATATTCTGGGTTGGCCTAAGAAATGTTTTCTTTAAAAATTACAGAAGGTTAGAGTCTCAGTCAAAGACACGCAAGAAAGATTTTGCCATACTATAAACTTTTGCTAATGAACCAACATGAATAGACGCCCCCCCCCAAAAAAATTTTTTTTAGAGAATTCAAAAGTTGCATATGATTTTGTGACATTTTGGTTAATAATTAAAAAGGACTGACAGATAACAGTATATTTAGACAATATAATTACAGCACTTCAATCCCACTTTAACTGCCGGGGCTCTATCCTATGAAATCCTGTGATTTATAGAGACATCTCTGTACCTCACCAAGTTACAAATCCATGGATTTCATAATACGGATCTAAGGCAGTTAAAGTAGTATTAAACTGCCACAATCTATTCTGTCTTCTCAGAATTAAACCCCACTGATTTCAGTGGCAGTTATTTCCAGGCAAATTGGTAAGAGACTACAGGTTTATTATGTTCCAGATTACTATCTATATTGAGAGGAACTGCTTTGTGAAAATATGTGCTGAGAATGATTTCTAAATACCTTTTCTTTTTCACTGTTGCACACAATGTGAGCAGGATGAGTAGAACCATTGCTGTATCTGGGGGGAAAATAATTTGCTGTCAACACTAATCTGTGAACTTGAACAAAGTGACAACAATGTCAGTTATCAAATATAGACATTTTACCCATGAGCTTGTTTTGTTTTCTCTTTCCAATCAACTGGTTCACAATCATTAATATTTTCTGTAAAAAAGAGATAGGGAGAGAGATTGAGAGAGAGATTAGTGAAGATTTCAGAACAAGACCTTCAGTTTAACTGGTCTTTGCTTCATTTTAGGCATAAATGAAGGATATGAAAAAGTTCATCCTGTGTGCATACCATCAAGTTCCAGTGCAAGATTGGTGACTCCATTTGCATAAGTCATTTCCATGGCATCAACTTCAGCTTCAGCACTGATAATTTGCTGAGCCACGGCCTCTACGATTGGCATTACCATAGCAGCAGTGGAGGTGTTGCTAAGCCACATAGACAAGAATGAACAGCTGATCATGAAACCAAGGGTGAGCCTGAAACAAGAGACACCTCCATGTATATTTGAAATTAACACCTAATATAATAGAACAACAAAAGCAATGATTCTTCAAATGTTTTTTCTTTACGTGACTCTGACTTAATACACTTTTTAGTATATTGTTGATGTTGATGTTGTGTGCCTTCATGTTATTTCTGACTTATGCAACTCTAAGGCAAACCTATCATCAGTTTTCTTGGCAAGATTTATTCAGAAGGGGGGGTGCCATTCCTCTGAAGCTGAGAGTATGTGACCAAGGTCACCCTGTGGGTTTTCATGGCTGAGCAGGGATTTGAATCCTGGTCTCCAGAGCCATAGTCCAACACACAAACTATAACACACTGGTATACCCTCAAAACTTTCAGATAATGCCCTACTATATAGCTTGGACAAGCAATAAAGAAAAGAAGAGAAGAAAAATGAAAGAGAGATAGGAACAAACTAAGAATTATGAATGGAACAGTACAACAGTACAATGGCTTATGTGCAAAGAAAATTATTACAACAACCAATGCAGAGAAATAGACAACAACAAAAATGGAAGAACAAGAGACCTATTTCACAAGATCTGATAAATCAAAAGAAAATTCAGACCAAGGATTGGGGTGATCAATGACAATAAAAATAATTCAAGAACTGGAAGAAATAAAAAGACATTGAATGCAATACACAGACGAATTATACAAAAGAGATGACAAAATGAAGAACACATAGAACAAAAAGCCGTATAAAGATGAACCCCAAATTCTAAAAAGCAAGGTGGAAACTGCAATATGAGAAATAGCAAAAAACATATCACCAGGAACAGATGATATTCCAATTGAACTGCTGCAATTGACATTGACAGTCAGCTCTAGTGCTAACCAACTTATGTCAACAGATATGGAAAACAAAACAAT